CTGCAAGCGGACCGCAAGAAATCAGCGAACTATTTTTCCGGTGCCCGCCTGCCCATATCGCATCGCCGCTTGCCCCCGGCGATTATCTGAGAAGGTGTTCTTAGCATTTTCTTTTCTTTTTACTTACTAGTCACCTCAAATTGATGTAATCGATAACAATCGGTAAGTCTCTTGCGTTTTTGCGATTGCAAATCCAGGATGAGGACGCCAAAGTGGACTGTGTGTGCAATGGCACACATGATCATATGAAATGAAGCGACTGTACATGCCTATTTACAAGTTATGAAAATTTTACAGTTGACGTGAGTGCCGAAAAGGAATTGATGGATGGGCCCTGCTAGCTCTTTCTTTACACTGGCACCTCCAACTTTGAAGTCGTCGATTACTTCTATTCGCAGAAAGTTATAGCATGTAAAACATCTATACAGAAAATTAATGTTTGACAATAAAGTTTACTAGCAAGACGTTTTCTTCATGCAACTGAACTTATGCGCATGCTAGCCTATTACACTCTTATTCCGCGATCAATTGAAAAACTTGACCTGAAGGGCGCATTGTGGAGATTTTCTCGCAAGAAGATATTTTTAGGGTGAGAACGTACCTCGGCCACTTGGAGTTTTAGGCCTGAAATCTCCTTACACTAAGAAATTATTGAAATTTGATATGCTTTAGAAAGCGCAAGAAAAGCGCTTTCTAATGATGCTAACAATACCGCACTAAAGATGAAATTCTCTTAGATTAATCCATATTGTATCAGCAGCTTATTGTCCGTTAAGCAAAATCTTAGCAGCAAAAGTCGTTTACAACCTCTGTACTGCCTAGGTATATATAGCATTCTTGCAAATGATAGTTTGAGAAAGTACCGGTTTGCTTGTCACGATATGTGAACAAGGAAAGAAACAAGTGGCTACAGTATAAAGTGGTTTTTTGGTTATATATTGCTGTTCTCATGGAGATCTACATAACTTCTATCTTAGTCCATCCTCTCGACAAGAAGCATACATATTCTGAATCAGCTTCAAACACTGTTTCCAAATATGCTGTTCCTAACTGCGGTGCACCATCCCAAAGCGAGCTATGGGATGATGCACCGCTATGGGCACCGAATTGGCATCAGAGCATGGTATGACTGCCTGTAAGTAATAATTGCGAGAAAAAAGTGCTGAGATAGCGAAATAACATCAACTCCAATTTCCTACTGAAACGAAGCTTTGTGCAAGTGTATTAGTACTTAGAAGATGAAGCCATGATGCCAGGAAATCGATGAGTATACAAATTCTGCACACAATAAAGTCAATAACTCGCTCGAAATCGATGCCCCGCAACTAGGAATAGCATACTTGAAATCAGCGTTTGAAGCTTATTAGATGTATATATATAATCCTCTTATTGAAGACGGAACTAAGTTGGGTACCTTCCCTTTAAGTTCCTTTTAGCTCCTCACCGCTTTTAATTCCTTTTCGACTATTTCTTCCACTTCATTCCAAACATCATCAAGGTAGGAAGTCACGATCATCTGATATCCATTTGGAACTCCTCGCTTATATGCACTAACAGCCCTTTGAGCGCAACCGCAGCAAAACTTCTGCAAGCAGACAATTCACATACATTTCAACATTCCGTGTTTAGACTGTTATAGTATTTAAGCTAATTTTTGGTAAGCTGCACTACTAATAAAAAATACTAACCCATGGGGTATCTGTTACTAGTACCGTATTGATAGTTATGTCCATCGGTTTCAGTCCTGTGCAGTTCCTGATACTGCTTAGAATAGGGTAGCGCTCTTTGCGCCCTATGCGCATTAAAGTATGGCTTTCTACATTCTTATGGTTAGGGTACCATTCCTGGTACCATGCCACATGGTTAGGTGTCCGTTCCCTAAAACGTACAATCATCTGTCACATGCCCAGAATTTAAGATAGAAGGATTCAACATATTTATATTTTCGGATGTAAAGTTAATTTATGTTCTGGCTTTTTAAATCTTATATATAAAGCTGATGTCTGTTCGTCTGTATGCCTGTATGTATGTCTGTATGTCTGTATGTCTGTGTGTACGTATGCTCCGAGTAGAAAATTCCATTTCTGAACCGATCCGGACCAAACTTGGCACACAAAAAGGCTGCAGCATGACGAAGGCGCAATATTTTTCGGCGCTCGTGGCTTTATTAGCCGCAGAGCGCGTGAGGCGCAGGATTTACAACGATGAGGATAAGAGGATATTGAGGACGCGTTCGCGCCCGCTCAACTGATACTGCTTCTGCGCCTTCATCATGCAGCAGTCTTTACACTTCGGGGCGAGGGAGTACAATACGGTACTAGTAACAGATACCCCATGGGTTAGTATTTTTTATTAGTAGTGCAGCTTACCAAAAATTAGCTTAAATACTATAACAGTCTAAACACGGAATGTTGAAATGTATGTGAATTGTCTGCTTGCAGAAGTTTTGCTGCGGTTGCGCTCAAAGGGCTGTTAGTGCATATAAGCGAGGAGTTCCAAATGGATATCAGATGATCGTGACTTCCTACCTTGATGACGTTTGGAATGAAGTGGAAGAAATAGTCGAAAAGGAATTAAAAGCGGTGAGGAGCTAAAAGGAACTTAAAGGGAAGGTACCCAACTTAGTTCCGTCTTCAATAAGAGGATTATATATATACATCTAATAAGCTTCAAACGCTGATTTCAAGTATGCTATTCCTAGTTGCGGGGCATCGATTTCGAGCGAGTTATTGACTTTATTGTGTGCAGAATTTGTATACTCATCGATTTCCTGGCATCATGGCTTCATCTTCTAAGTACTAATACACTTGCACAAAGCTTCGTTTCAGTAGGAAATTGGAGTTGATGTTATTTCGCTATCTCAGCACTTTTTTCTCGCAATTATTACTTACAGGCAGTCATACCATGCTCTGATGCCAATTCGGTGCCCATAGCGGTGCATCATCCCATAGCTCGCTTTGGGATGGTGCACCGCAGTTAGGAACAGCATATTTGGAAACAGTGTTTGAAGCTGATTCAGAATATGTATGCTTCTTGTCGAGAGGATGGACTAAGTTAGTTAATCCATATTGTATCAGCAGCTTATTGTCCGTTAAGCAAAATCTTAGCAGCAAAAGTCGTTTACAACCTCTGCACTGCTTAGGTATATATAGCATTCTTGCAAATGATAGTTTGAGAAAGTACCGGTTTGCTTGTCACGATATGTGAACAAGGAAAGAAACAAGTGGCTACAGTATAAAGTGGTTTTTTGGTTATATATTGCTGTTCTCATGGAGATCTACATAACTTCTATAAAGTAATTCCCCACACCAATCTACGCATACACTTTTGCTCGAAATAATAGCTTTTCTAAAAACAATGATGTCCTTGAAAGCAGCCTTGCATAATATTTTTTAATATTTTTTGTAAAAACATGCTATCTACCTGCGGTCGACATAAAGGGGCTGAAATTGTAATAGTTCGCTGACGTACTGGTGATTTCCAGTATGGAATCTAGGCATTCCATTATGAAACCATATGCGATTTACATTTGTACCACTCCGAATTATTTATCAAATCAAAGACTTACACTCTGAGTAAGATATTGCAACCGCAAAACCTCAACAAATGATAACAAGTCATTTTTACATTCAGCATATATAATAACGCGCCAAACAAGTTCATCATCAAATCTACTCTTTGATATTAAAAGCGCATAGTTCAGGTTCACTAAAATGAGCCTACGCTAGTCGCCTATGTCTCAATATGTTACTTTTTCAAACTCTTACGAAGCTGAGCAAAGCAGCCGTTTTGCCCTTACACACCGATTTATCCACTTGTGCTTGCCAAAGGAAAACCGTTGGAGAAACTAACCAAGTACTTCAGTTGTTCGTTTGCAGGTACTCAAAAACAAAAGCAAAGATGACAAGAAGCGTATTGTGGCGGAGAGGATGAAAACGATAAAGGTTGGATGCGCACATTATGAAAACTGGATAGGCTGGCAATCAGCCGTGTGTTTGCTGCCAAAGTGAGAGCCCTGCTAACCATTGAAGATTCTGATAATTCCTACTATGCTATCGCTTTTCTAAAAGTGAGAGAGACAAGGGCAGTAGAAACTTTTTTGGTTCCACTGTCTAGTGTTGACGATAAGAAAAGTTGACTGAAGTTGTATGTGCGATGGAAAGTACACATTTAATTGCCTTCTTCTCTCTCAATAATTACGATGATAATCTGAAAAAAGAGCTAAAAGAGAGCAGTAGACCTCGCTCTTTAGAAACATATACTAAGAGTCTTTAATCACTTGTCTCGAGGAACTCGTCGGAGCCATTCAATCAAAGCAACGATGCATGAAATAGATTGATTCGGTGTGATAGCCTCAATCACTTAAACACCCATTTAAGGTCTTTCTGCCTTTTCTGCGGAATAAGTTTCCGAAACAAGTTATGAGCGTTTGAATGCCCAGTTTTGCCAAGCATTGAGTGGCTTAAAATCAGCGAAAACCCCTAAAACAACACCTATGCGATTTCCATCGGCTTTGTTCCTTCCTTGCAAACAACATACTCTATACAAAGATGATTTTCCACTTTCCGGTGTTTTTGTACAGCTTTTCGCCACCTAAACCTTGAGAAATTTGGACATTTGAACGCCCAGGACTTCTTTCGGAAACTTATTCCGCAAGACAAGGAAAGCAGTTTCGGAATCAGCGTTTAAAGGCGCGTTTAATGATTTACATCTCATCTTCAATCGACTAATGTTGGTATCCTTTCCTTGTAAGTATTATTCATGTATTTAAAAAAACCAGAACGTAGATTTCTTTTAAATCCGATATTATGTTGAAGTCCTTCTGTTTCAAACTCTGGGCATGTGATAGACGATTCTAAGTTTCAGGAGGACAGACCATACGAATGTAACAGATAATAAATCGTCGAGCGGGGTGACATTAACCTATTATAATAGCAATTTCAGAGACTGTACAAGACCGAAAAGCAATACGAACTGCACAGAACCGACCACCGAAGGATATGGATGTGGATGGCCTTCTTTTGAATGGCCTTTTGGATGGACGACGTGAGTAACTTGTTCTTAGTATTATTCATGTATTTTAAAAAGCCAGAATATAGGTTCCCTTGAAATCCGATATAAATATGTCAAAGTCCTTTTTCAAATTCTGGGCATGTGATAGACGATTCTGAGTTACAGGTGGACACTTGACCATACGAATGTAACAGATCATAAATCGTCGGACGGGGTGACATTAACCTTTATAATAGCAACAACACAGGACCGATAGGCAATTTCACGAACTACACAGGACCGACCACCAAGGAAATCAAATGGCCTTCCTTCAAATTGCCTTTCTTGAGATGGTCGAAGTCAGTAACTTATTTTAAGTATTATTTATGTATATTTAAAAAAGCCACAACATAGATTCCCTTTACTTCCGGAAATATGAATATGCTGTGGTCCTTCTATCTCAAATTTTGGGCATGTGATAGACGATCGTAAGTTTCAGGACATGGACATCTGACCATAGCGTAGATCATAAACCGTCGCGCGAGGCGCCATTTCCCTATTATAATATAAGCAATTTCACGCACTGCACAGGACTGAAGTTGAGGGACATGGGTATCAATGCGGGACTAGCAATATATACCTCATGGGTTAGTATTTTTTATTGGTAGTGCAGTTCACTACTAGATAGCTCAAATACTCTGATATTCTAGGCACGGATGTCAATAATATATGTGAATTGTCTGCTTGCAGAAGTTCTGTTGCGGTTGCGCACAAAGAACTATTAGTGCATACAAGCGAGAAGAAGAACCAAATGGATATCAGTTGATCGCGACTCCCTGTTACTTCGAACCCATTTGGTATGCAGTGGAAAGAATAGTCAAAAAGGAATTGAAAGAAAGGAAGGTGAGGAGCTAAAAGGAACTTGTAGAGAAGGTATCCAGCTAGCCGGTCTTTAATAAGAGACTTACATATTCTCAATTAGCTTCAAACGCTGACTCCAAATATGCTATTCCTAGTGCGAGGCATCGATTTGAATCGAGTATGGACTCCGTACAAAATTTGCATATTCATTAACTTATTGGCAACACGGATTATTTTTCAAGTATCAATACACTTGCGTTAAGCTTTTTTTTAGTGAGGAAGGATTGGATTTGTTGTTAATTCGATATCTCATCACCTTTTTCCTAAAGATTTTTACCTACAGGCAGTCTTACCATGTTTCGTAGTATGTCAGTGCAGTGCAAAAGCCCAAAACTCGCCTCGGAATGGTGAGTCGCAGCTAGGATAGTATATTTGGAATCAGGGTTTGAAGCTGATTCAGAATATACAGGATGTTTTATAAAAATGCCTACTGTTTGATCATTAATAACTCTCTTGTCGTAAGAACTTTCGGGGAGAATTAGGTACCACTTTGTAGAGCTGGATTCAACTTAGATTTATAGTATGGAGCGCATTACCGATATTCCTTCATTACTATAATATTACGGTAGGAACTCACAGCATGTGGCGCCACTGTGAAATAGGCCGTTCAAAAAAATTTCAACAAAATCATTTGTGTAACAAGGTTTTCATGCATGCTGATTTCACTGCATAAGTTTTTACGCGTCCGCAGAGCTTTTGAGTGGCCTAATCAAATTTTCGACAATTATTAGAAAACCGTCGTTGTGTTATATCTGACATTTGTTGAAGAAGCATCACGGTAAACTGAGAGCTTCATATTTGAAATCATCGACCCTGATTAACCTAGTGTAAGAGTTTTTAGCTTTTTTAGTCCTTACTTAGAGGTAAAATATGACCCTTAATGACGCAAAACCCAATTCACTACCGTAATTCTACAGTAGTGAAGAGGGATCGATAGCTGCTCCATGCTGTAAAACAAGATTGAAGCCAGCTTTACAAAAAGGTGCTTAGAGCTTCTTGAAAGACTCAATGACAAGAGAGCTATTAACAATCAAACAGTAGGCACAGGTTTTTTGGGACACTCTAGCCCGTAGTAAACCCCCCATCAGGGCATCTCTCTTGAGGCGGACCGGAGTTGATCTCATCGCGCCTCAGCACATTGCCAGGGGAGCGGTTGATTTCGAGCAGATCACTTACTGAACGATCGCGTTTTCAACGACGGAACGTTTCTGCCATTTGTGCATTACTAGTCGATTGGATAAGACTAATGCATTTCAAGCGGCAGGGCCGTGGTTCGAGTGCGGCAGCGTACAATTTTTGCTACTTGGCCTGGCGATCTTTGATAGCGGCCGCTGTCGAAAACATCGATGACAGCCGCTATCAGAGATTTCACTAAGCGAACAACGGGATAAAACAAATACGCAATAATATCAGTATGGAATAATATCAGGAAAAATCACACTTGGCGAAGAATGAGTAGGAAAGTAAATTCATCGTCTTGCTATTTAAAGCGGTTTTCTCAAGAAAAACAAGCAACAACTGCAAAAAAAGCAAAAAAACCTTTTCCGATTTCGTCGCGCAATCAGCTGTTCATCGATCCTCACTCACTCAGGCGCCCGAAATTGTGCAATTTTGGGAGTTTTGGACCGCAAAAGAACGTCATCTGCGATGTTTCATAAGTTACTCAGGAGCAGCTTACGGAGGTTTTCTCTGCGCTCTCCTCTTTAGCACAGTATTCACCGAATGTCGTCGCCCGGCTCATCTCCGATGACTCGGCAGGGAGGTGATCTCCCTACCGGGCTTCATCTGAAGCTCACCTGTAGGGTGACCTTGCATAGTCACACCACGGAAACGCGGAAAGTCCTCATCTCACCCGGCAAAACCTCATATGAGAGCCTCAGGGGAGATCATCTCCCGTGACCGAGCTTTACTACGGGCCTCTGTCGATATGTGACAAGGGAAGAAACAAGCGGCCACAGTATAAAGCGGATTTTGGTTGATTATGGTTTTCTAGAAACATTGGTGTTTTTAGAACCAGAAACCATTGCATAATATTTTTTGTTCAAACATGCTATCTACCTGCGGTCGATATAAAATGGCTGAAATTGTCTTCCAAGTCACAATTCGCTGACGTACTGTTGATTTCCAGTATGAAATTTAGAGATTTGTGTATGAAACCATAGGGAACTTACATTTCTACACTTCGAATTATTTATCAAAACAATGAGTATCCTATTTATTTATTTATTTATTTGAATACGCCACAGGCGCGCCATAGTGTCGGGTTAGTAACCAACAGATTCTTGAGAACAAAAATCAGTGTTAGAAATACACAAACTCAGAGACAAGAAAGGCTTAATGCAGAAAAATAAAATAGCTTTTTTTGAGACCATTCGCCACTCTAGGTTAACTAATGAATGATAGAACACAAGGACTAACTATCAGAAGCGCTGCCATAAAGGATATTCATATGAGTCTGCGCATGCCACCCTCGCTGACCAGCAAGCGACCTACATTCAAGGAGTATGACGGAGACTATGAAAAGGGCATGCTAGCGCGACAAACTAGGCAACCCTAGTACAACCGAACATACTGGATGAGCCACAAACTCAATAGGAAAACTGGAAATATGCTCGGTAAAAAAATATTTCGGGCAGTCTCCTTAGGTTAGCCTTATGCACCAGGAAGAAAAGAAAAATTAGACCCAGAACGACAAATATGTCTCAGTCGAATTGAACTGACACATCATCAAACCAAAGATCAAACAATACGAAACGGCATCTATCTTACACTCTTACAAAAGGAAAGGTAGTACAGGCAAATAAAAGAACTGGAACTCGATCATGCGTTGTCAACGTATACTGGACGACACACCTTGAGTCCGCCGAGAAGCGGGATCTAAAAAGGAAACCGAGAAAAACAACTACAAACTTAAGAGAAAGCTAAACTCCCAAGCTTATCGCAGATGAAAAAGACGTGGCAAGAAAGAAGATGTAAAGCAGTCAGCCGAATTTAACCATTTTCTGAAAAAAAAAGAGGAAAAGAAAAAACGGATTGAAATAAACGAAAGACACACCTTGTAAAAGAGACCCTACATCTAAAAGTATTCAGACTCGTCAATGCCTAACAAACTCAAAAAGTCGCATTTTAAAAGCTTTTTTCTAAACAATTTTGAGTTAACAGAAGAGATGACAGAGTCAGGCAATTTTTGCATCCAACGTGCAGTACGAACAAAAAAGGAGTTATAAAAAAGCTTGTTCAATTTTGTTGATCCTATTGAATCAGCACAGTAAAAATTAAACCTACCTGTACGTCCGTGGCAAGGCTTCCAAACCCAAAATTCACTAGGCAAAAGCTTAGTCTCGAGACGTAATATTTGGAAGGCAAGTACTAGATCAGCAACAACCCTTCGGTAAAGCAGGCTATAGAGCTTGAAGCGGGCCAACCTACTTCTATAGGACGGGAGGGCAGCTGGGTAATCGTCGTTAGGCATAAGTCTATAGAAAAGGATACGAGTAAAAGTCATCTGAACTCTTTCCACAGTCAAGATATCCTTCTTTATATATGGACTCCAAACTTGGCTAGCATATTCTAAATGCGGGAGGACATAAGCCATATACATTCTGATGTAAACTTTCTCATCAACATGCTTCAAGTTACGTAGCAAGAGGAAGAGTCTGTGCAGGGCTGCACGTGCTATTTTCTCGATATGGGATCTAAATCGAAGCTCTTGGTCAACTAGCACCCCAAGATCTCTTATTAGTCCAGGCCTAAAAAGAGAGGTACCAGAATGCTCGTATTTCTCAAAGGTGCAATCATTCTCCTTTCTTTTGGAGATTGTCAGGCAGGCACTTTTTGTTAGGTTAACGTCAATACTGTTAAGAGAGGCCCAATTCAGAATATTCTGCAGGCAG